CCAGTGAAAATAACCCACAAACAGTAGGACAGAGAGCACTGAGACAACAATGATACTTCTAGAAATTGATACTGTGCTCTTTCTTGAATCACTGGGGTGGATATTTAGCCACAAAAAAATGTGCCTTTTTTGCTAGTCAAGCGTATGCCTGGTGTAATGTTGTGCACCCTGAGTGCTGACATAACGCCTACCCATGGCATTTCTGTTGTGCAGGTGCTGGGTAGAGAGGTTTTATGTTTGTGTTTTATGGATATTTTACTCTTTCACCTTTCCCCACATCATCTTGCAGCTCTGCCAGACCGGTGGAGTAGGTCCAGTTGGCAGCTGCAGAGGTGATGCAGAGCAGGTAGTATTGTGGAAGACCTGTTCGGATAACTCGCTTCTGTTTTGATGTCCAAAGAAGGGAAGAACAGAGCAGGAGAAGACAGGGTTCAGAGAAGAGGCAGAAAGGATTCAGGCATGAAGGGCTCTTCACCTGAGAGAGAGTGAGTAGACTGGCACTGTGTAGAGACAGCAAGAGAATGGAGAAATAGAAAAACATATCTGACGGGAAAAGGCAACCTGGATGCCACTGCTTACTTTTCCGCGGTCACACGAAGGTGATCAATGAAACTGCCAAGTCCAAAACCATCACAACTGTAAGGTGTGCTCTGTAGCACATCATAACCTGGAGATTTGTTGTCACGTGCTGTCATTATCTTAGCCAATGTTCCAGAAGAGTCCAAAATAGAGGTAAATAATTGAATAATGAGAAGCAAGCAACTGTATCTAATACCTTCAGTTGTTTTACTTATTAAGCTGTGTAATGATTCATGACCAAACCTAACTTCCTGGCAGTAGGAAATAATTTTTTTCTAGCAGCTTAAGCAGCCTACATGAAGGGAAAAAAGTACGTCTCCAAAGCTGTTTAGGAAGCTGTTCCCATTTGGGTGGGAGCCTGAAAAATCCCATTAACTCTCACTTTTAATGTCTGGCTTCCCTGTGTACGGAACATTGGTAAAATGGAAAAACTTAACATGTCTTCCAAAACAAATCTGAGATACATTTGGCTGTTGCATGTCCCTCTGCAGACATCAGCGTGCACAGGAGAAGCTGCGCAGAGAGGGAGGTGGTTAGCACATGAGCTTGAGTCACGGCAGATTAAGTGTTTCTATAGCAGCCACCTTTGAGGGAAGGGGAGGACAGAGGCTCTCTAGGGACAGCAGAGCAGTGTCTGCCATGGCTAGAAGAAACTCAGTTTTGCCCATGTCTTGTTGGTCTTTGTAAGTCAAAATGTTAGTATGGAGCTGGGTTATGCAGTACTTCTGTTAATGGATGGGCTGACAATCGACAAAGCCTGTAGTTCAGTTGACTTAATTTTTTTTTAGGATTTGAATTTGTTATTGTCCTTGAGAGCAAATAGTTTGAATGGAAACGTTCACGTTTGCAGGTCGGATAGTTTATCTGCCATTTAATGCTGAGCAGATGAGATATTAAATCTAGGTGATAACAGCTGCGAGCTTTAAGACGGTCTTGTGCAGGAACACGCAGCCTGGAGTATGTGACGCAACTCCCGAAGCTGTGTATTTCAACTTCTTTGACCTGCAGGCTGTCTTAGAATCTCCCTGCTGGAAGCATGGGCCCCTGCATCCGTGAAATGAAGTGAACTTTCAGGCTTCCTTTCCTCAGTAACCTATGATAGATGCCTTCAAAACAGGCCATGAGCCTGCATGATGCAGCAGATGAGAGGTTTAGGACTCTGGCCTGAGGGAAGCAGTGAGCTGGGAGCAATGGTAATGGGAGTGATGGGACAGGCTTGTTAGCAAAAGGGTGTGTGGATGCTTAAACACCAGAGTAAGGCTACCCGTTTTGTTTGGTGATCTGCAACTTGTGACATATAAAACCTAAGAGGAGGAAGGGAAGGTGGTGGGCAGATCTCGTCTCACCCAACAGGGTTCCTGTTGCTGCCTTATGCCAACAGTTTTAATACCAGAAAGCCTAGCCTGAAAGCATGTTGATGGAGAATATATGAGATATATGTCCACAGTGACGCTTTGGTCTGGAAAAGGTCAACCCAACTTCAGACTGTGTTCAAAAGGTTTAAGGTACTGCGTGGAACACTAATGGTTTTCTATGTGCATTGGCTATTGAGATTATCTTAGGCGGCTCCTAAAGCTGTTGGGGAAACTGGAGAGAACTCTGAGAACAGATGACAACACAAGCTTGGGTTGAGTAATCACCTTAGGAAAAAGTTACGAGAGCAGGATGTGCAAACTGACAGCTCCACTAGAAGAAAACGCATCATTACAAACAGCAGAACAGTGTAGATGCTAATAAAGGAGAGAGTGATTGATTATAGTTGTTAGGGTCAAGTAGTGAGAGGAAGCTGACAAAGCTAAGCTTAATAACAGGAAACACTTCCTAGTCATGAGGTCTGTTTGGGCTTCAAAGTGTCTTACAAGGAAAATGGTGGTAGCTGTGCTTATTAGGATATTCAGAAATAAAGCTGCTGAATCATTAATAAAGGTAGAAACCCACGTGATGGTAAAAGTGGAGTAAATACTCAAAGATGTCTTGGCCTGTTCAGAAGTTTCAGCAAAACAAAATGAAAAAAAGTCTTTCTGTTTTGCAGATGCTACCCATACCTCTCTAACTGCCCCCATACCTTGTTTCAGGTTCCAAATTTCTCTTAAAGCAGCAATTTCCACAGGGTGACCAGTGCCAGGGAAGATCTTTTTTTTTTTTTTTTTTTCTCTGAATCTTGGGAAAAAAGATCAGCAAAGCCATGAAAGGAGGTAACGTGAAATTGCCATCAAGGTGTATGGTGTTGTGACTTGTCACTCTTCCTCTGCCTTGTGCTGCTGAAAGTCCCAAGTTTATCACGGTACAAACAGGAGCTTTTTTAAAGCTTTACAGTCACTTTGCAATTCAGGTGTTTACCGAAGGCACTCTAGCACGGGGCGGGGGAAATAATCCCCAGCAGTCATTAATTTTCTTTGTTCTTTGTAAACAATTATTTGCCTTGAGCCAAATAAAGGTGCATTTTGAGATTCTGTGATGTTGTACTATATAATGAATGAAAATAATGGATGTGTTTCAAAGTATTTGCATAATTCTACACATTTTAGTATCTCCGTTTTCTTTAGGTGGTGTCTCGACTAATACAGAAGATTCTTGCATGCACTGACAATAATTTGCATTTTTAGTGCATCACCTTAAAGGACCTCCTTATCGCTTAATCTGAGACTTCTTTGCAGTGGTAATGCAATGTGCTGAAATCTTAAAACGAAAGTCAGTCAAACCAGCCTGGAATCACGTTGCTGTTGAATAAGGCTCATCATTTTTCTTCAACCTTCAGTGAGTCTGTACCACCCCAATGGGAGTGTCTCTTAGAGTTATTTCCTGGAGGGAAGGCATTGATGGTTCATTTCATCCGACTCCCAGGTAATGAGGGTGGCGTTCTTCTGTTCTTCAGTCCAGCCTGCGCCAGCGTCTTAGCTACAGGGTGTGCTTTTTCTGTCTTCACTAATGTCTGTATTTGACAGACCTTTCTGATTTTTTTGATGTGATTTCAGCTTCCAAACAATTTGCTGAAGAAGTCTTGAAAGCACACAATGACTACAGGAAGAAACACGGAGTCCCCCCATTAAAACTCTGCAAGAAGTTAAACAGAGGAGCCCAACAGTGAGTTCAGTCCTTTCTTTTCTCTAATGAGATTTGTGGCACTTTTATCCATTAGCTTTGCCTGTGCATACTGCAAAACTATTTGCTTTTTGACATGCTGATACTCAATGAAGACTTACTGGGTGGAAAGGGAGGGACTCTACTCTTTCTGTCTCCCTACCCGACTCCTGTCACCCTTTCTTTCTTCATCACACAGCACCAGCTGGTCACACGGGCACTTCTGTGGTCACAACTGTATAAATCTTTCTCGCACCCTTTTCCAGATGTGGGCTGTATCTGTCTACACTGGTATGTCTCCTCTGCAGAGGGTAGTTGCCTAAAACGTGCTTCACCACCACCTCTGTCAGATGATGGATTGTCATCTGCAGGAGAATATCCACTGCTGCTGAAATAGTGAGAAAAGAACTTTTTCATGTGAGGAAGCGATCACTGGTCTAAGATCAGCGGAATCAGATGGAAGTAATTTCAGATCAAATTGTCTACCTCCCTGCCCCAAAAGCAAAATCAGTGTATGTTGTTCTCTAGTCTGTCAGGAGGACACATCTTACCCCTTCTCCAGGGCCGAAGGCTGTGCAGCTTCTTATCAGTCTCACATACACTGGATCCATCTTCCTGCTGTCTGGCTTAAGTCTTCCTTATAAAAATTGGAGCCCAATACTGCTTGTCCTCTTTGCTGTAGACATAACAACCAGATGATTTCCTTTCCCTTTACAGCAACCTTTTTCAGAGTAGATTTGAAAATCTTCAGAATCTACTGATCCTCGCAGTACAAAGGAGATACACGAAGGAGTAAATGCTGATTAAACTATTCAGAAGATAAATGTCTTTCCATAGTAGCTAAATAGTGGCCAGTTTGATCCCTGCAGATGTGAGATCTCATCTCCCGTTAGGCTTTCTACCATAACGGTGCAGACTTCTCTGCACCAGCTGGCTGGGAGCCAGCGAGGCTGTAGCCTTGCCGGAACCCGATTTACTGTCCCAGCATGATGCTGTGCTCTCACACAGGTGCCCCAGCTCCCGCACTCCTAGACCAGAGGTCTCTGCCAGATGTTGTGCTGTACCACGCACCACGTACGTGGCGTGTGGACATGTCCTCCGGCAGCAAGGAAAATCTGATTCTGTCTTTATTTTTTTCACTTTTTTTTCTTTTTTTTCTTGAGACACATAGTAACTGGATGCAGTATTTCTAAGAGATGGAATGCCAGTGACTCATCCACATACCTTTGTAATCTTCTGGGGTTTTCCTTCTGTTGCTCAAAGTGTTGTTTCGTTTCTGTTTTACATGATGCCTCTGAATGAGGAAGAAATTTCATTGACTTGTTGATAACACTTGCTGTGTCTCCAAAGTGCTACAGTTGGTTTGAACAAGTCAACTTGTATGAATAGTTCAGATTGTTCTGTCAAGTCTGCATTGCTCCACATTTATCTCTAAGTGTGCTATTGCCCTTGGTGAGTATTTTTAGGTCCTTCTGGAATTCCTCACAGTCCTCTCTGGTCTCAGCTGACTTTCCCCACTGTGATGAATAACGATAGGAAACCTTTGTTTGCAGTCTGCAACTTAACTTGTAAGAATTGAAAGATACAAGTTCAGAAACTGGTGAAGCTGGTTGACAGCAAGAACTAGAAATGGCTTGATCTGAGTAGAAGACATGAAATATAAGAAACCTCTTATTTGTCAAGACAGATTCTGCATAATCTGAAACTCAAAGAAGAACTTCACCTTTTCTTTAGGTGTATCTGATATCTTTGTTGGTGTATATCTGGTGCATCTCTGGGTACTTTTCCGTGCTTCTCTATCTGTGTTGAAAATGGTCTGTTTCCTACTATTTTTAGTTCCCATAATTTGACAGGTTAGATGAACTGACTATTGGATGCCTTCTTTAGCATGAGATGAGTCACCCTCAGCAGGTGTCTGTTCATCTCTGACTGTAATGAAGCATAGGGTGATGATCTCAGATGAAAATCCCATGCTTTCAACTGCCTGAGCTAGGGTGAATTAATCACCCTTTGTCTCAAATCCTTGGCAACTCCATCCGTGTGCAATGTGTACTTTGTTCCAGTCTTGCCTCTAGCTTGGGATGTGGGGATCCTTGAAGAGAAAAATGACAGCACTGTAGTGATACAGGGCGTGAAGGATCCTCCAGAGATCCTCTAGTTCAGGATCTAGCAGACTGCCAACAGACAGGCTTTCATTATTTCTAAATTAAAAGAAGTAGCTAAATAGGAGTTTTGTTTGTTTGTTTTGGTGGGAGGACTAGGACAGAAGGCAATGGGAACCTAATGACTGAAGTACTAGCTTGGGCCAAAAAGTTCAGCTGGACAGATTTCCTGTCTCTGGCAGATGTCTGTAATACATGATTAGGGCAGGAGTAGCAGGACAAAACAAATGTGGTGATCGTTCCCCCATTATCTTCTCCCAGAAATTACAGATTTCTCCTGGAAATTATGGTTTTCCTAAGCAGTAGGTTGTATCCTCTTTTATTTGTTGCTATTGTTTAATAAGCCCTGAAGATTCTCCCCCACGTACACTGTAAATTTGTCTAGCTTACTTTCAAACCCACTTGCAACTTGCTGTCTGCATCGTCCTGCGGCAATGACTTCTGCTGCAGAGTGGAAAAAGTGCTTTGTCATACTTGACTTTTAAATCTACGACCTGACGATTTTGTGTGTCACCTCCTGTTTCTTGTGGCATGAGAAATAACAAATGATCTTTCCAATTTCACTGCCTGTACTGAAGCCTTTCCAATGTTGAATAAAGAGAATTGTTTTACACATGATGTTCTTCTTAACTCTATTGTTGTAAGACAATAAAATACATCCCACGCTCTCACACATGTCAGCTTCTATAGAAGCAGTGATGCTTATCCCTGTGCTGGTGTACACAGTCTTTGCCTCAGATTCTCCGTGCGGTCCCACTCTCTACCGTGCTGTCGCCTGGCACATCGCTCTTGTTTTGCATTTGGCTTTTTGTTAATTTGTAAATGTAGGGGTTTTTTTACACTTGCTTTGACTGAATCCCCACTTCGGTCTTTTTTTGCATCTCACTGAGAACATTTTCGTTACTCCCAGGAGGGGCCTAGAAATGTCAGGAGGTGACACCTGTAGCAATTGCTGCAGGTACTTCCCTTTCCACCAGCAGCTGCAGCCAAGGATGGCTGGTGGATTTTGAGGTGCTGGGCAGAACTTGGTGGGGGGAGATCTGCCTTTTGATTTCTTCTAGGCCCTTCTTAGCAGTGACACAAGTGCTCATGAAAGACAAGGAAAATGGCCTCTAGGCCTTCCCTTTGCCTGACTGCTAGATCTAGGTGAGCTTAAAGCATCCCTGGCTTCAGGGCTTTGCAGCTGAGTAACTTAAACGGTCCTCTTCCACCAAAACTCCTTGCTTGCATCTCCTCTTCTTCCTCCTGCTCCTCCTCCTCTCTGCTCGCTGTGGCTGTGGTCTGTGACTCAATGTGTGGATTCCTTTGCTAGGTATGCAGAAGAACTGGCTTCCACGAGGGTCCTCAAACACAGCTCCGAGTCTGCTAATGGAAAATGTGGAGAAAACCTAGCATGGGCATCCTACGACCAACCAGGTAAGGTTTCCTCTCATGCTGTCTCACAGACACCAGGTGAATGGTTTGTCCCAGGTACTTTGGGCTCAGAGCATCTGGTTGCAAGAGTACTGGCATTTCCTCCGCTTTGAAAATGGATCCAACACAGCCCAGCTCCGCCCAGGCTCACTGGGGACAGGACGGTGACACGCAGTCACCTCTGTGTACTGAGAGCAAAGAGCACGTGGAGGGACTGAAGGGACTGTGCTAGTGTGCTCTGTCCCTTTGGAGGTACCACTTGTCAGCTCGGCTGCTCCATATGCCCCCACTGTGGAGCTTGAGTGCCACTTGTATGTCCATAGATACAAGTCAACGCCTCGTACTTCACCTTTATCCTTAGTTTGTCCCAGCCAAAGGAGGGCCGGCCACAAGCCAGCTGGGGTGAGGAAGGTAGAAAACCAGCCATTGCATCCTATGCAGCAGTTCATGTTTGTGGGTGCAAAAATGGGGCGGGGGGGAGGGGGGGGCGGACACCAAAGTGACAGAAGCTGTGAGTCACCTACTCTCTTCTGCCCTGTCAGCAAACAGGCTTTGAGCCTTCTTCCATGCCTTCCCTTCTGAAGACAAAAATACTCCGTATATTTTCTGATCATAAATGTAACACGTAACTGGCGACCTTCGGTTTGGATGCCTGAGGAGCTGAATTTTGGCCAGGCTGACAGCCTGCGGCGAGCCCTCCGTCGGCGCGACGTTCAGACGGGGCTTCCTCTTCCCTCTTGCCTCAGCCTGCTGAGACAGCAGGTGGGATGTATTAAAAGCAACCTCTTGCTTGCTTTATTCCCATCTACCGCTGGAATTTCCAGCACAGCCTCAGGGAGACAGAGCTCATTTTTGCAGGCTGGAGGCCCTGTTTGAAGGACCTGGAAATTTGAGTAAGTGAGTTTTAGACCCAAGGACACTGCTCGGTTCCTCTGCAAGCGCCAACTCCGGTCCCCAGTGGGTACTTTTTCATGTTGGGGTGGAAAACCACAATTTGATCTACTCATATTTGGCATTCTGTCCATTGCAAGAGTCTGAGGCAAGGGTTCAGAGCAGCATGGGAAAAGACAGATGTATGGCAAAGTTTGCCTAGTGGCTATGACTCACTGACTGAGCTTACTTCTTCCTTCTTGTTTGTGTTGATGGCCTGTGCTCCTTCCTCCGAGGTTAAAGTCACAGAATTCCCATTTAGAGAGTTGGAAGCAAAACACACGAGTCCTTCCATAAGTTGTGTAAGGCCTGTCTTTTTCTGGATCCCATTTATTGTCTTCAGTGCACTGTTTCCACACGTACTTGCCAGTTCTGAGCAATTTTGTTGCTATTTTTTTATCCATAGGATTGAATACCTTGCTGAGAAACTTAAGCTACATCCCTTTTTTTTTTCCATAAACCACTTCTACATTTCCTATGTAGCAGGATCATTCAAAGTACCAGAATGAGGAAACCAAAGAAGGTTACTCTCTCATCTGGGCTTCATCTCTGTGGAGCTGGTTCATTCTTCCTCTTTTTCTCATATAGTTCCCGTTGGATAGTTAATTTGTACCCTGCTCGATGAAGCCGAAATTTGTATTAAGGCATCCATTCAAGGGCTTAACAAAGGTAGGCAGTGTCTTCTGGTTTCTTTCCTAGACAAAGCAAAATTCAATAAACCTCCAGCATACTCTGTATTCTCTCTAAAAAAGTGATGCTGTAGTTTATTTTGGCTCTTACTGGGTTCTGTAATGATGCCAGAAGACGCATTTCTTGTTTCAGAGGAGATTTAAGCTTTCAACTGTAAAAGCCTTCTAGTTTGACCGCTCTCCTGGTAGAAGAATACCTTGAATTGTATTCAGAATTTAAGAGTTACAGAGCCTAAAGCTATCGCTGGAAATATGTTTATCCCTGTAATCCAAGAAATAGTTGACAGCTGTTTCCTCCCTCCAGTCCTGCAGGAACTTCTCCGTGGCAGACTTCTCTTTGTCTGTGTTCAAGTAAGTGAGCTGTCATCTGCCACTAATGCGAGAGACCGCAGCCTGCCGTGGCAGCTGCAGTATGTCAGGCTTCTCAGGATGCCTCGTCTCATTTCTCATGTGTCGGGAGGCGGAAGGCAAGCATTGGATGACTAAATTCTGGTTGGGATGGCTGGTGTGGTCGTGAAGAACGTGCCGTGTTGCCTGTAAAAACATTGCGGCTTATGAACTCTAGAGTTCCTAAGAGAAATTCCCTGTGTGTTATCACCCAAATCTGTTATGGGAGGAATCTGGGTCTGCCTACAGATCGGGAGTAGCGGGCAGAGCGGCACAGACACCCTCTGCCCTTTGAAGAGCGTGCTCTGACTGAGAGCCTGCCTTGATGCGTCCCTTGCTGTCTACCACCAGGCTCTTACTACTGTTAAACAAAGTAAAGTAAAATAAAATAAGGACCTGCATGAGGAACGCTGGAAGTAGAGGGTTACTTCCTAAAACCATTAGTATGACTTCAATCTAGGTAGATATTTTATTTCTGAGGCAAATTTAAATCAACCTCTACCTTCTTTCCCCTCAGACTGGAAGGAAAGTTGTGACAACAACATGTGAGGAAAATTGTGAGGTTTGAGGTACCTCAATTTTAAATAGATCGCCATGATCACTATGCCCATCCTTGCACAGAAATATGTCATAGAATAGTAGAACAGTTTGGGTTGGAAGGAACCTTCTGTGATTTTATTAGAATGTGTTTAGTGGGATTACTTGAAGATTTAAGGATGCTTTGGTATGAGGAGAAACAGTAAGGCTGGGGCCAGAGACATTAAATGTTAAGGGGAGCCAAATACAGTAGCGGGGCTGCCACAGCCTTATGTTCTCACTGGTGAGGCTGAGAATGTGTTCCCAGGCTTGCACACACAAACAGACGTGTACAGCGTGCACATGTGCGTGTGTATGGCCACCACATGGCAGGGGGCCACAAAGATCAGCACAAGCAGATGGAGCCAGTGTTAAAACGAACAGCACCAGTGGCCTCATCCTGTTCCCCTTTTTGGTTGTTCACAATGAAGTATGTAACTGGAAAATATAGAAATAAAATAACATAATATATACTTATAAAATACTTATTTCTCAGTACTTGACTTTAAAAATAGATATAATTTATACTTTTATAGCATTAAATTATATATATGTGTATCAGTCATGGAAATAAAATTCCAGTGTGGATCCCTGCAGCAGCTAAGCTCAGACAGTCTGCCCAGTAGCTGCCCCTGGATCCCAGTCTCCCCAGTTGCTTGCATGTGGACGTACCACCCCCTGAGGCTGCAGTTCGACTCGCACAACGTCTCTCACACGCGCGCAGCTCCCTGGCTGTGTGAGGAGGCTTAAGGCACAGTCAGTGTGGCCACGTTATGAGCTCACAGCTTGGGTAAATAAAATGAAGTCACTGTGCTGATTCTGGACCAAGTCTCGGGCAGGACGATACTCAGACACTACTTCAAGGATTGTTGCGCCAGGTTTTTATGCGATGTAGACGTGCCCAGGGAGTCATGGTACTGATGAAACTCGTTAGAGCGATGGCTGCAAGTTCTGCAAGTGGAGCAGCAGAAGAGAAGTTGCAGCGCTGACTGTAGGACAGATCTGCCTGGGTTTTGATAGAAGTAAACTCGTATCATTTCTGCTATCATCAGGAATGAGGGGTGGGAGTGGGATCTCTTTTCTGTGTTCTTTCCTTCTGATTAAATGCATTTTGAACAGCAATGAAGCCCTGTTTTGGGGGAGCTTTGTGGGGAGTGGGAGCTGTTTTCAATGAACCATTGGAATGCAAGGGGAACGGACATTAAACACAACTGCATCGCTTATTCCGTAATAATTCGAAATGGAAATGCTGTGCTCAGTTCTCTGAACCAGCGCCTCTGAGGATGCAAGTTGCTGCAGAAGCAGGTAGGCTCAGTGCTCTGCTGGCCCCTCTGCTGTTCTCTCTCTGGAAGCCTGGGGATCACTGGGCTCAAAACAGAGTTTTTCCTTAGCCCCCTGCGTATCAGCTCTCGCTTTCAGCACTGGTTTGGCTTGTGTCCCAGCACTGCATTGTTTACTGCTCCCCAAGGGGCAAAGAATCAGAAGAAAAGTATTTCAGAGGAAAGACAGCATGTTTAATCACTAGGTACCTACGTGTCTTCTCACATGGTCCTTCCACGTAGGACCCCCCCTCACCTCCTGTGGCATACGACAGATACAGTTCATTCGTTCACTTCCAGGACACTTCTTTAACATGATTTCAAATCAGAGTCTGTCAAAAGTTGCCTAGTCCTTTGGTCATCTTCTCTTCTGCCAGGAACAAGTTAGTCTTTAATTTCTCACAGCCTATGATGCAATGACTCTTTTAATTCAAGGAGGGTGAGAGCAATGCCGTACAGTGATAACCTGGTCCTGTACGTGGAAAACAGAGCATAGCTACCAGCTTCCAGGCTTTCACTGCCTGGCTGCAGCAAATTGCAAGCTTTCATCCGCAAAGGCTGGGAATTAACCTGTCATACCCACCTATGCTCATTGTCTTGCATGTACAGGATTGAGGTATTCTTACTTGATGCCATTGCCACCTTCCTTGAATTAAAGAGTTACCAAATTTTCACATGAAGGTATTCTTTAAATTAAAAAAAAAAATTAAGATATACTGTGTTTGTCAAAAGTTCCCTGTGTCTTGCAGTATTTCCGTTCTGGAGATTTTAAGTTCTTGTCACATGGAGCCTAGGTGCGCTTCCTAGAGCTCCAGGAAGCTGAGTGGGGATGACTTTCTCTTGAACTACTCTTGGCACTGTATCACACGGATATGTTAACAGAGGGAATGAAGTGCTGGTAGCAGTGGGAATGCAGACCTGCACCTGTAAAAATGCTGTTTACGTTGTGTGGTCACCTCATACCCATAAAATGCATGTGCGTCATAATGTGTCTGCAGTCACGTTTTGTACCTCTGTTCCACCCAGCTTACCACAAACACATCTAAACCCTTCGTAGCTTTGAAGTCTAGGGGGGGACAAGATGAGCTGCTTGGGTTTGGGTTTGTTTTGTTTTACTATGTGCTTTTTCTTTTCCCTTTGTATTGCATAAAGATTGCTCTTTTTTTTTCAGTCTTCATTTTAGCTTTAGTGTGAGTAACAAATGAACAAACATTTGTGTTACAGACTTCAGCAGTAAAACGTGTCTACTGTTGTTTGGTGCAGGGAGAGCAGGGAAAGAAGGAAGCTATTGTTATTCCCGAAACACTTACTTTGGGAAGCAAGAGAGGTTTTGCTACCTTTTTATGTAGAAAATGTAAATTGACTCTGCTGAGAGAGCACTGTTCCTAACAGGCAGTGTGGCCTAGGTAAGTTCATAGTACTTTCAGTTCACAAACCTCTCCAGCGATGGAGAAATATTCAATATTTTCTCTCAATGACATCTCTGAAGCCAGCTTGCCAG